AGCATGATTCATAACGATAGCCAAACCAAAGGCGTCCACTGAGTGGTGAATGGATAAACACACACGTCCACCCACCCATGGAGCGTCACGCAGCCACAGAAAGGAGCGGAGCCCTGCCACGCACTCCACGTGGAAGGGCCCTGAACGCGGTGCTTGGTGAGACGCCAGACGTACAGGCCACACGGCCTGTGACCCCATTTCTGTGGCACGTCCACAACAGGCGGATCCACAGACAGAACGTGAGCTTGTGGGTGTGGGGGCCTGGGGAAGGGGCGGGGGTGACAGCTCATGGGGACGGGGTTTCATTTCGAGATGATGGAATGTTCTGTAACTGAAGAGAGTGATGGATGCACGGCACTTGAATATAATCAGCGCCACTTTAAAGCAGAGAATTCCATGTTATACGAATGTCACGCACGCCCGCAAATACGTTTCTGCGGCCTTGGGGAAGAGTAGCTGAGATCCGAGCGCTGACGTGGCTCCGTGCCTCCTGCCTTCACAGACCCGCTCTGAGCGTGTTTTTTGCAAACCTATTTCTGGCCGTAGGGGAAGACACACTCCTCTGGTTTCCCATAAGCTGGGTTGGACGGTGCAAAAATGTGCCTTTTAAAAACTTTCCTGTCCTCAGGCATTTCTGTGCCACACCCGCATTTGCCTGGACGGTGTCCTGGGCAGCTTGGGGCTCAGCTGGCCCCCCGGACGCTAGGCACGGTCTGTTTCTTGGTGTTTTGCAATTCCAGTCCTTCTCTCTGCTTTCCAAGGCCAGCAGCCTTACCGCCGGGGTCCCCCACCGGCCCAGCGGCCTTGTCCCTGAGGTAGGGCCCCTCGGACTTTGGAGCCGCCTCAGGAGTGGGAGGGGGCCTGAGCAGACACCGTTAAGAGGGCAAAGGTCCGCCCGGGGGCCCTGTGGGCGGGCGGTTTCTTTACAGCCTGGGCCCCTCGGCCTTGGGCCGGACACCGCCCCTGGGCCCCCGTGGCAGGCTGGGAGCGGGCACATCGTTGCCCAGGCGGGGCCTTCCGGCAATGGGACTTTCTCCAGGCCCAGCCAAGCCTGGAAAAGGCCCTCCTATGCACTGGGTCCTGCCAACACCCCACAGCCACCCTGTCCTGCAAACACATTCCCCAAGCCGGGTCCCTCGTTTTGTGGACTTGCGGGTGGCCACATTTGGGGAGCTCCCAGGCTGGCAGTCTGGGCCAGGGGTTCCCCACCATGGGGTCTGCTGTCCCTACACACACACACACACACACATGTGGGCTGTCTGGGCCTGGCCAGCGACGTGACCCCACTGACCACTGACCACAGCCGTAGAATCAGCCCAACCGAGGTGGTGGAAATGCTCTCCATTTCGCCACAAACAAGAATTTCCTGTCTGCCCATCTGAGCCCTTGGAGGGTGGGGGGTGGTTATTTCTTTCCTCTCTGGGGCCCCTCCCGGCCCCCCTACCTGAGCCTCAGCGCGGCTTCCTCCTCACTAACTGCCCCCACCCCCTGCCTCTCCGGGAGGGCCAGCCCCCTGGGGCTGCCGCCGAGCAGGTGACCGGCATGAGCTCCCGGGTCTTCAGTGGGGGCGGGGAACAGGGAGCCATGCTCACGCTTCCAGGAGGGAGGCTGGGAAGGCTTGACCTCACCTGCTCTGTGCCTCGGTTTCCCCTTCTGTAAAGTGGGTGGTGCTGGGTTGGGGGAGACAGTCATATGGTCAGCCCAGCCTTGGTGACTAGTGGTCACACACCCTCCATCGCGTGGTAAGAGGCCCTCCACAGCCATGTGGTGGGGACCGGGTGTGTTCCCGGGACCCTGCCTGGTATGGGGACCAGGGATCCAGCTGCCCCCACTTCTCAGGTGGGAAATCGTGGGTGTCCCCACCCGGGTTCGCACTCCCATGTCCAGGCCCTCGAGGCCCTGCACCCATCTCACAGGTGAGGAACACGACATATGCAGAGAGCAGGATGGGCCCCCATGGGCCCTGCGGCCCAGCACCGGCCCTCCTGCACATCTCCGGTTTGAGAAAGCATCTCCATGCTTATGGCGCCGTGAGAAATCGAGGCCCAGTTAACACGCACCGAGAGGCACCTGCTGTGTGTCCAGCACCTGACCAGTGCAGTGTGTGAACCTCTGTGTCCTGGAGCAAAGGGCAGGAAAGTCACCCACCATCAGCAGCTGGGGAGATGTGCTGAGAGCAGACGGCGGGGGGCAAACCGGGAGTGGCTGGCAGGGCCCAGAAGCTCAAGGTCCAGTGGGAGGTGAGATGGGCAGGCTGGCGGGGCCTTACGGGACCTCCGGGCTGCAGGGCAGGTGAGGGCTGGTGTCTTTAGATCAGGCAGGAGCCAGGCGAGACCCCAGCACTGGCTCCAGGGAAATCAGACTGTGGGGAGGGGAGAGCCCGGGGCTTATCTCAGCCCTCAGCCCAAGGGAGGGGTTTCCGGAGGTTTTGCCCAATCTCCAGCCTGGGTCTGAGGCGCTGGGGTGGCAGGCGCCCGGTGTCAGGGCCCCAGCCCCGCCTCGAGAGGGGCAGGGTCTTGGGCAGGACCGAGGCCTGGGCTTGGCATGGGATGTGATGCGGCCCAGCTACGTGACTGGAGAGACTTGTGAGCACACACAGGCCTGCGGGGAGCGGAACTTGGGCCCAGAGCCCCATAAAACTGGGGTGGCCTTTACTGCCTGCCTTTGTTGTCAGCTGCCCCCAGCAGCAGCCATTAAAGCTGCCTCGTCCCCAGTGCCCGTCCCCCTTTATGGCCTCACACAATGCCCCAGCCCCACAGAGCTCTGACCGGGCCCTGCCACTGGCCTGCCCACTCACCATTTGGCCCTGGAGGTTAACGGCCCCCCTGCCAAGCCAGCCGCCTCTGCCAGACACGGGGCAGCTGGTCGCCACCCTGGGCTGCAGTTCCCCCCGCCTGGAATATGGGAGCCATAATGGTTCCAGAGCTGATGTGTTTATCGCCCGCTGTCCCCAGAAGATGGGGAAAGTGAGACAGATGGGGCACTGAGGTCTCGGGGGGTGTGGGGCCTGAGAAAGGGCCGTGGCCCCTCATCAGGAAGGGCCCCTGTGTGAGTGCCCTGGGGTGTCCAGAACAGATGACCACAGACGGAGCTCCTCCGATCCACAGGAACTAATCCCCCAGCTCTGGGGCCAGAGGCCTGAGACCCAGGCGGCAGGGCCATGCCCACCGGACGCTCCGGGAGAGGCCCCCCTGCCCCTTCCAGGTTCGGGTTCTGCTGGCACCGCGGTGTCTCAGACTTGTGGACACATCACCCCAGTCTGTTTCTCTGGCTCTGGCTTCACAAGGCCTCTCCCTCTGTCAGTGCTGCCCCCCAACAAAGACACCAGCCACTGGGTCAGGGCCACCCCACTCCCATATGGCCTCATCCTAACAAATGACTCTCTCTGCAAAGGACTGCTTCTAAGGGTGGGTCCCATTCTGGGGCCCTGGGTGGGAGTGAATTCTGGGCACCTGCTGTCTCGGATTCTGGCCTCACTCACTGCCCAGCCTGGCCCAGGCCGCAGCTGAGAAAATCAAGATTCATGTACCGAGCATTAATTAAACAACAGCTGTGTGCTCGAAACCATTATGAACGCTGGTAACGAAGCCGACTCCATGCCTGGTGCCCCACCTGGGTGGTCGCAGGAGACCAGACCAGCTTGTCACAATCCCTGAGGCCTGGGGGTGAGGGGGGATGATCAAGGCAAGGGGTACTCCAGGGGCGCATGCAGTAGGGTCAGATGGGCAGGGAGAGGAGCGCAGGCAGGGGACACCGGTGGCATGTGCATGCCCCCGGGGAAGGCCCGCCTGCAGGCCCCACACCCCTCAGCTGGAGGGGATGCAGGTGGCAGGCCTGGCTGGGACAGGCGGAGACCGAGGGCCAGCCTCAACCACCCAAGTCTGGGCTCCTGGCTCCGGGACCCCAGCCCGGGCCCTGGGGGCCTCACTCTGTCTCCATCACACAGATGGAAAAACAGAGGCCTAGAGAGGAGCAACCCGGCCAGGGGACGGCCTCCCCAAGGACCGTGCCTCCCCAGGGCCTGTGACGTCCCATCCAGCAAGCACTGGGCAGTGGCCTGTTCCCGCGGGCCCTAATGAGGGATTGTCCCAGGTGGGGCTAATTGGTGTTTTCAAGGTCCCCCATGGTCCCGATCCCTGTGTCCAGGGGGCCACAGGGGCTGCATTCCCTGGAGCTGAGTTTGAAACCTATTTGCCGGTGCCCCTCCTTGGCAAATTGCACCCCCTGCCCCACTCCACTCTCTAATTACCGTGGCCGATATCCCCCAACTGTGAGCACCTGGGAGGTGATGGTCAATGTGGCTGGGGAACCCTGGCCCCCCCCAGCACCCCTGACCAGGGCCCTTTCCCCTCATTCCATGACCAGAGAGACCAGGCAGCCAGTGTCTGGGGGTCTGGGCTGAGTCCTGGCCTGGTTGCCTGCCTGCCTTACTTACGCCTTGGTGTCTATCTGCCGTGTGGAGCTGTGTCTCGGAGCAAGCGTGTGTGGTGTCTGTGGATGGACAGCACTCAGACGTGTCCACTGGTCATGGCGACTGTCCGGGGGTGGGTGCCGTCTGGGATGAGTTGACCCCCAAGATGACATGTTCAAGACTCAGTGCCCAGTGCCCACAAGTGGGACCTTGTTTGGAAATGGCCTTTGCAAATGTCCTCAGTGAAGTGTGGAGGTGAGAAGGGGTGGCCCTAAATCAGTGAGCAGGGTCCTCTAAGAGAATTTGGACACAAGCACAGAGGAGAAGCCATGAGGAGACGGGGCAGAGGCTGGAGGGATGCAGCCATGAGCCCAGGGACGCCTGGGACCCCAGGAGCTGGAGAGGCGGGGGAGCCCTCCCCTGGAGTGTCTGCAGGGAACCTGGCCCTGCCTCGCCTGCATTTCAGGCCTCTGGCCCCAGGACTGTGGGAGGACAAACCTCTGGCTCAGTGGGGTCTTGGGGGCCAGGACCCCACCAGTGGCCGCCTGAGCTCCAACACCAACTAACCTGTCCCTCCTTGCCCTCGTAGCTGTACGAGCTGGATGGAGACCCCAAGAGGAAGGAATTCCTGGACGACCTGTTCAGCTTCATGCAGAAGCGAGGTGAGCCTGCGGGTCTGAAGGGGGAGGCGCAGCTCTGAGCATGAAGGGGTAGGTCCTCGGGGGCCGGGGGAGGTCTCAGGACTCCAACCCAGAACTGATTGACAGTCCAGGCCCCCTCGTTGCTGGGAGCTGTGGTGCACTGGGGTTGAGCGCCCAGGACCCCCGCCCAGGCAGCCTCTGACTGGGGAGGGTTGGATTCTCAGGCAGTTAGGTGGGAAGCTCCCCTGTGGATTCCTGACCTTGTGGCCTGGCCACTGGTGTTCCTGCAGCGGCCGGCATGAGGTTGGGTCTGGACCCCTCCCCTGCTCCCACAGGGGGGCCTCGGAACCCACCTGTAAGGTGGACCACAAGCTGTCCCTGCTGTGTGTCTGTGCCCCAGATATGCTGAGTGCCACCGGGCTGCATTTATTAAGCACCGACCGTGTCCCTGCAGCCCACCCACCATGTCTGGGGTGAGACGGTCACTAGACCCAGCCTGGCTGGGAAAGGTATGGTGACCAGGGGAGGGACAGAGGCCAGACATGCTCTGAGTGGACGTCCAGGTGGGGAAACCGAGGCACTGGAGGCGTCAGGGACATTCAGAGACAACCAGAAGGTCCCCAACGCCCCCCCATCTGGGCGTCACCCTCAGCTTGGAGCTGCTGTGGGGCAGAGAGACCAGCTCTTCTTTGCTGCTAGGGGGTCCTGGCAGCGCTGGTTGCACCATGCAGAGTGGGGCTCACTGCTCTGAGCCCTGGAGAGCCCCCTGGTGGGGGTTATCACGACCCCCCATGGCTCAGGGAAGGAAATAAGACCCAGAGAGGGTCTTGACCTCCGATCCACAGAGGCAGGAAGGGGCCGGCCGCCTGGGGCTGCAGGTCTGCTCTGGGCCAGTGCAGTGCCAGCCCCCGCTGCTTTGTCCAGGGCCTCCGCCCGCCTCTCCCGCGCCAGCTGCCTCTGTAAACACAGGCCCAGCCAGGCCAGCAGCCGGAAGGGAAGGAGATGAGAGGGGAGGGGGCTGCAGCTGCATGTTAACCCCTCCCGTGCCAGGAGGGTGGGGGCAGCTGGTGGACTCTCCTGTTATCATCAATCCCAGTCCCAGCCAGGGCCCGCTGTCCCCCAGTATGGTCAGAGAGATCCTGCCCGGCTCTGTTATCGGACTGCCCACACCTGCCTGAGCCCCCCTGCCCCCTGTCCTGCCAGGAGGCTCCCGGCTCCCAGCCCCGGAGCCCACCCATTTTTGTCCAAGACTGGACTCCTGTGTCCCAGAGGTACCTAGGAAGTGCGGCGAGCTGCTCCTGTGTGTGTGAGACGCTGGGGGCCTAGCATGAGACACGTCAGTCCAGCCCCCACAGAGCTGTGAGAGTCTGTGTCCAGCCACGTCTCCCTCACCAAGCCAGGCGCTACTGGAGAACAAACAGCAACAGACTCCTACACATTCCTCAAAACCCAGCTCCAAGGCCCCCTCCTCCCTGCCATGTTCCTGGACCCTCCCCTTCTGTAATTGGAGCCTTTGGGGCTGAGATTCTGTGAGAACCCCCCCCCACCCCGCCACTTCATCCTGGACGCCAGGTCCTACATCCCACAAGCCTCTTCCCCCTCAGACAGAGGGAAAGTAATTTCTTTCTCCTCGCCACAAAGCAAAAGCCCCCAACCAAATATCTCTGAATTCCCTGGGGATGGATACGGGCGAGGTCCTGCCTGCACCCCACCCTCCTGCTGTTTCCTTGAAGACCTCTCCACCCTTCCTTATCGCCCGCCGCTGCCCGCCGCTGCCCGCCACCCTCCATCCGTGCCTCTCTGTGCTCTCCCAGGCCGCCCTCCTTCTGTAAACATCCGCCCTGCCCCGCCTGCTGCGGAGCAGGGGGCAGGGTCCCCAGAGGGCCTGTGGTGCTGTTCCTTACATCCCTTGTCCCAGTGCAGGGCAGGGTGGGGCAGGGCGCTCTGGGCCCACTTCTGGGGCTGGCTGTGCTTTGGAATTGGGTAGGGTTGGGGTTTGAGGTCCAGGGGCCAAGGATGCTGCTCAGCAGCCCACGGTGCCCAGGGGCACGACCCCACCTCGACCCCAGCAGTGCTGGGGTACACCCTGCCCCGGGCTGTCGTGGGCCCGGGTGCGCCATCTGCTGCATGTCAGGCTCTGGCCCGGCGACGCCCCCCGCCTCATGGTGTCCCCTGCCCTGCAGGCACGCCCGTGAACCGCATCCCCATCATGGCCAAGCAGGTGCTCGACCTGTTCATGCTTTATGTGCTGGTGACGGAGAAGGGTGGCCTGGTGGAGGTCATCAACAAGAAGCTGTGGCGCGAGATCACCAAGGGCCTCAACCTGCCCACGTCCATCACCAGTGCCGCCTTCACCCTGCGCACCCAGTGAGTGCCCGCAAGGCCGACCTGGGGGTCGGGCGGGGCTCTGAGGTCACTCGGTGGGAGGTAGTGCCCGTGCTGTGGCCCACCCGGTGGACAGCCACAGAGATGGGGGTTTCTCTGGTGGCTGCCCAGTGACCCGGGTGCCATCCTGTCGGCCTGCCCCACCTGCAGGTACATGAAATACCTGTATCCCTACGAGTGTGAGAAGCGCGGCCTCAGCAACCCCAACGAGCTCCAGGCCGCCATCGACAGCAACCGCAGGGAGGGCCGGCGCCAGAGCTTCGGGGGCTCCCTGTTCGCCTACTCGCCCGGCGGGGCCCACGGCATGCTCTCGTCACCCAAGCTCCCCGTGCCCGCCCTGGGCCTGGCCGCCAGCACCAACGGCAGCTCCATCGCCCCGGCCCCCAAGATCAAGAAAGGTAGGGACGGCCACAGAGCCTGGGGCCACCCTCGGCCCAGCTTTAGCCTGGCTGGGCAACCCTTCCCTTCTCTGGGGAACCAGACAATACCCCCAAGGTGGGCATGGAAGTCTTCCCCCGCTTTGCCCGAGGCAGACATTACCACCTGATCTCCCCTCTCCCAACCCTGTACAGCCAGGCAGGCATTACTGATCAATCTGTTTTTTCCAACCCTGTGTCCTCGGCAGACATCACTAATTGATGGTATTTCTCTCCAGTTCTTAGCCAAGGTGGACATTACAGATCAAGCATAATTTTCCTACCCCATGGCAGACATTACTGATTGATCACTGTGTTCCCGGTCTGCACCGCGGCTGGCATTGCTACCCGAGCGCTGTGTCTGTCCCTACACCCATGGCAGGCCTTGCTAGCCTTTTATGGGAACTTTGGCCCAGTGTCCCGCACACGGCTGACACCATTGATCGCCGTAGCCTTCTCTGTTCTCTCGCCTGTGACGGGCAACGCTGGTCAATTCCTATATTCTTTTCCTGTTGGATTTAGAATCCTTCTCAACACGCAGACACCATCGAGAGTATAGAGTAGGTCTGTCACGTTGACCCTCTACCCATCCCCAAGGCTATTCCTGGGTGCTCCTGGGCAGCTTGCTGGCAGCTCCCTCCTTCCTTTCTGAGCCACACTTTCTTTATGCATAATGTATAGGAAATCACACCTTCTTTGTTGGGGAGCCTTCAGTGTGTAAAATGCCCAGCGTGCAATAGGCCCAGGTCTGCAGACACCTATAACAGCCTCCAGCAGATCTGTCTTCCCCCTTACAGAGCCTCTGAATCCTTCCTAACACACAAGTACCAACAGTGCATGTGGTAGCGCGGCCTGAGGCAGGTCAATTCGACCATCTGACTCCCCATTTCCCATCTGCCACACAGCTGTGACGCCCATCTTCCTAGCCTTGGCCCAGGGATCTGAGGTGGGCCCCACAGAGCCCTGAAATGAAGGGCTGGTCGGACTAAGGTGAATGCGGTCCTGCTCACATTAGCTCATTCAGGCCCCTGTGGGCCTCGGTTTACCACCCCAATCTTGGGGAGTTCCAGCGATACCCATGAGTGGTTATTAAGTGTCTGCTGTGTGCAAGGCCCCATGCCAGAGCTGGGGACGGTGGTGGACAAGAACAAGGGCTTCTGACCCAGTGGAGCGCATGAGGGAGCCAGGAAGCATCGAGCAGCAGTCAGGTCCACAGTGGCGGGTAGGGGCAGCGCCAGGTGACCAGGGACAGACACGGAGGAGGAACCGGGAGAAGAAGAGAGCTGTGGTCACAGTAGGGCCTGAGGGTGGAAACAGCAGGGTCGTTCATTTCAACTGCAGAAGACGGGCGTGGTCAGGCCCGGGGTCTGGAGTCGAGCTGCCTGGGTTTGAACCCCAGCTCCACCTCTCTCCAGCCCTGCAGCCCGGGGAAGTTAGCTCTCCTGCCTGAGCCTCAGTTTCCTCATCTGTCAGGTGGGGATGAGAGTGTCCAGGGGGATGTGGGACGGTTGAGATGGACCCTGGAGATGGTTCGCGTTAAGCGCGTTAGACAAGATACGTGGTGAGCCCTCGTTATAACTAGGGTTACATGTAACGTTACATGTTACTGTGGTCTCTCTGTGTTACACCAATGCCAACTACTCCTCTAATACTGTTATTATAACAGTATTACCACCATGATGGTATCTAATATCAGGCTGATATTAGAAAAGATTTTTATAGCCATTCAAAAACCACTTCCTACCACTTCCCTGGAGGGGAAGTGAGCACCCCATGAGTGCAGGTATTCAAGAAGATGCACATTCCTGCCTCGGGTGGAAGGCAGGAGCAGCCCACTTCACCTCCTTTCTGTCCACCAACTCCTCTTCTCTCCTGTCTAGAAGAGGACTCAGCCATCCCCATCACAGTGCCCAGCCGCCTGCCAGTCTCCCTGGCAGGCCACCCTGTTGTGGCAGCCCAGGCAGCAGCGGTGCAAGCAGCGGCGGCCCAGGCAGCCGTGGCGGCCCAGGCCGCTGCCCTGGAGCAGCTTCGGGAAAAGCTGGAGTCAGGGGAACCTCCTGACAAGAAGATGGCCCTGGTGGCTGATGAGCAGCAACGTCTCATGCAGCGGGCACTGCAGCAGAACTTCCTGGCCATGACAGCCCAGCTGCCCATGAGCATTCGCATCAACAGCCAAGGTACCAACCCAGCACCCAGAACCTCTCTGCTTCCCAAATGTGCAAGAAAATAAGGGCCCTGTAGCCGCCATATGTAAAGAGTGCCTACAAATCAATAAGAAAAGGCAAATAAACCAATAGAAGGCATGGGCAGCTGTGACCAGCAAATTCACATGAAAAGCCATTCAACTCCATCTAGCCAGGGATCTTCAAAGAGATACAATTTTTCTCCCACCAGAGTTTGACAGTATCAAGTGCTGGTCAGGATGTGGGGAAATGGGCCGCTTTGGTCCTGCTGGCATAAATACGTGACAGTTTGTTAATCTCTTTTTAAAATAGGCAATGTGCTGGCTGTGCTTGCTCTGTGATACTGTGATTCTACCAGGTATCTACCACAGGGCCAGTGCAGGTGCTCAAGGAAACACAATGTACATAGATGGACCCTGCAGTCATTTGCGTGACATTATTTATAATAGTGAAACCTTGAAACAACTTGCGTACCCACCAGTGAGAGAAGGGACAAATCAAGGTTGGCTTACTTTGTGGCTACTAAGAGGAATGAGATGATTTGGATGTGCTCATAATAGTGAAAAAAGTGAATTTTAGACACATACATCCTCATTCGATAAATAAATATTAGTTGGGTCCCTACTGTGTGCGCTGTTAACAGATGCAGCCCGCTGTCACCAGTCTAGCAGCCAGATGCAAAACGGAGCACCGCATGAGTGTGCTCAGTCACCAACGGTGGTTTCCTTCTTCCCACAGCCTCCGAGAGCCGCCAGGACTCGGCTGCAAACTTGAGCAGCACAAATGGCAGCAACAGTATTAACATGTCAGTAGAGATTAACGGGATCATGTACACAGGTAGGAACCCCCAGGGGGGAGCCCCGCCCTTCTTGACCATTTGTCTCCCCGGATTAACTCAGGAGTCCTGGGTGGCCCCGGGGTCCAGCCTGCTTGAGCCCAGGCATGAGGGGGCTTGAGCAAGCAGAGCCAGGCTAAGGGGACACATGCAGTGTACCTAGCAGGGTGCTCAAAAATAGGTATCAAGTGGTATATTTCTCCTATTGCAAGAGATGTCTAAGTTCCTTCCAAAAATGTGTAGTCAGGGTGATTGCTTATAGAGGCCACCAGGCGGCACTGTGGACACAGAACAGCTCCGGCGCTGCGTGAAGATGCCATGGGAAGAAGGCTAGACGAAGTCGTGGTGTCCTAGTGGTCGCCGGGTGGACTTTACAGGGGGTGGGTGCTTGGGGAGCCCCCATACCTGTTGCATAATCTTTTTAGCTCTCTGTGACGTGCCTCTCCTCCTGTCCTTGCATTAGGAGTGCTGTTTGCTCAGCCGCCAGCCCCCACGCCACCCTCAGCCCCCAGCAAAGGGGCCAGTAGCGGCAGCCGGGGAGGAAGCAGCGGGACCAGCAGCGTGGGCAGCCAGGCTGGGCCATCAGGGCCATCCGCACCCTCCACGTCTTCTACCTCAAATAACTCATTGCCTTAACCGCGCCACTCCCCACCCCAGGAGCCCGCCAGACTGGGCAGGGGGTCGAGGTGGGCCAAGCAGGGGCCGGGCTGGCGGAAGATACGGGTGGGGAGGGGAGCTATCCACAAAGGAGCCACAGCTAACGCCAAAAAAAAAAAAAAAAGAAAAATATATATACGTATATATATACATACATATATATATATAAAGAAATTTAATAAACAGGGGAAACCAAGGAACACTTGAATTACTCAGGTTTCGGACATTCAGAGAGATGAATTGTGAAGACAGCAGAGGAGATCGTAAAAGAGAGGGAGGCAGATGTTTCCTAGGGCTTTGCTGCAGCCCTGGTAGACCGACTTGGACTGGTGTCTGGTTTGAACCAGTTGCAGTGTAAGGCCGATCCTGTTTACCTCATACATCCCTGCACTGTGTGTTTTCATTTTTGTCTGTTTTTTTTCTTTCCTTTTCTATCCATTACACACTCACCACACCCAGCTCCTTGTGTTGAATGAAACCCCTGAGCCAAGATCAGTTGAATTTTTTTTTCTTGTTGCTTTTGGGAACTTTTTTTTTTTTAAAGAAACATGATATTCAAACTCTATAAGGTTTTCAAGAGGTTTTGGGGGGTTTGTTTTGTAAATAATCTATTTTATTCTTGGGGGAGGAATCAAACCTTAGGAAAAGGATATTAAATCTATATATCTATATATTTGTGTTCATTCAGGGAAACTGGACTTGAAAAAGCCACACAAAAAAAGAAAAAAAAAGAAAAGAAAAGTAATACCATTTTTTATTTTTCCCATGACTGGTTTGGGTTCGTTTGTGTGTTTCCTGTGGTGCAGTGGGTGGCTGGCAAGCGCAGGACACCGGACCCTGGGCTAGAGCCAGGCGAGGTGATGAACTCAGGTGCTACGGGCTGGGCTGGGGTGGGGGGTGCATGTGGGGGGCCGGGTGGTGGTGGGGGGGCATGCATGCTAAATGGCAGACCTGACATCCGCGATGTTTCTCTGTGCTGTGCTCTGGGTGCTGGGCTCTCTGGTTAGGGACCTGGAAGTCTTAACTGGCAAGGAGAAGATGCTGGGAAAAGGATGCAGGGCATGGGAGGGGGCTCTGCCCGTCAGCCCCCAGGCTCCTGTCTCAGGGATGCCTAGGGCCTGGGGTGTCTCTTGCCTGAAAGGGCTGTTTTTGGAGATGGTGGGTGCTGGGGATCAGGGGTGAGCCGGGCTTAGCTCAGGGCGAGGTTTTTGGGGCCACGGCATCCTGAACACCTCCCCCCACCACGTTCTCATCTCCTTAACTCTGTCCCTTCTCTCGCCGTCCCCTTCGCTCGGGGCCACAGCGCCTTGGGTGGGGGCCATACCTCCGCCCGCGACCCTGCTCCTGAGGAGGCGGGCGTCGGTGGGACACGGCTGGGTGGGGGATTTGTTCCAGAGGCTGGTGACGGTCTTCGCCAGGCAGCACTGCCTGTCCCGAGGCCCAGGTGGGAGTTTGGGGACTTTGGCGTCCGCCCTGCCCTCGCTGTCCCCGGGGACCAGGTGGTGTTGGGTGGGGCTGCGTCTCAGACACGAGTGCTTTTTCGTTTCTCTCTCTGGGGGCAGGGGATTAACTCGGCTGTTCCCGGGGTGAGGCTGAAATCTCTAATTGGGCCCAGGGAGCCTGGCCTAACGAGGCCGAAGGGGGCCGCGTGTGCCTCCCCCGGCCCAGGCGGCATCTTGTTGCCGTGGAGACCGTTGGGGGGGCGTGTCCCTAGCCCCCAGCCTGGGTTTGCTTGCACGCAGTGTCTTAGGGAGGGAACCCCCCTTGCTTTGGCATATCTCAGGGTCGTTGACGCCCCCCCCCCACCTTTCCAGGAGGGGGTGGCGGCAGGCGTTGGGGATTCCGCCCTGCTTTTCCTTCTGGAAGATTCTCCCCTGCCTGTCTCGCTGCAGCTGCACAATCACTGTTGGGGAGTGCATCTCTGTCCCCCAACACAATCCGGCCCCGCGCAGAGTCCGCCCCCCCTCTCCCTTGTCCCCTGCAAGCCCGGGCCAGGCCCAGTCGGGGCCAGCTGTGCATTTCTTTCTACCTCACGTCGGACTCTTGATGCCAAAGCCTGCCCCCCGCCCCCCGCCCCCGCCCTTGGGCCTCTGGCAGGCGTCCGGGGAAACCCCGGGCGCTCGCGTGGGCCGCGTGTGCGTGTGTCGTGTGGGCGATGTGGCCCCCCGGATCTCACTCAGGGTGTGGCCTGCCGTTCTGCGTGATGATTGTAGGGGACAGGTGAGGGGCGCAGGGGCTGGGGTCCCACCCTGCCAGCTGAGCAGGCGGTAGCTGCCCTGGGGGTGCCCACTGGCAGGGGGTGGACATGCCCCCCGGGAACTCTAAAGGGCTCTGCTCCCGCCTCGGGTGTTGCCATTCAGCCCCCTGCCACTCCCCGAGGTTTAAGGAAGGGGGCGGCTTTCTGGGGTACAGGTCAGCACCCACTCATGCAAACCGGACTGGTTGTGGGGCAGCCAGTCTCTGCCCCCCAGCTTGTGCGCTTTTCATTCCAGAAGAGGTGGGGGCCTCCAACTTAGGGTGCAAGGGCCTCAGGGGCCCCCTGCTCTGGAGATGTTTGTGGATGGGATGCTTCTCGAATCTTCCTTGTGACCCCTACACTGGCTGCAGGGTTGTCAAGCCATCCAGCTGTAGGGCGGGAGGGTGGGCGGGTGGGGGGACTGGGCATCGGGTGGCTGGGTTAGTTTGGATAGCTGTGCATTTTGTACAGTCACTTTTTACCCACTTCTATCCTTTTTTTTTTCCCCTTATTTTTGCTTTTGCGTTTTTTCTTGGCAAACATGAATTCAGCCTTTCATTCCTGACATGTGAAATTTCATTTTCTCTGGGGTTTGTGAGCTGGCGTGGGGACCGCGCCTGCACTCAGGTTAAAAGGGGAAAAAACAACTTTTTTTAAAAAAAGGTATAAAACTATACTCTTCTACCTCTGGCCAGGCCTCGCCTGTCCGCCCTGGCAGCGGCAGGCAGCCTGTAATGATTTCAGTTTTTGCAGAACATTCAGGTATTAAAAGGGGGAAAAAAAAAAAAAAGACAAAAAACCAAAAAAAAAAAAAAAGGTGTGATTTTGGAATTTAAAGAACACTGAAAGTTTACATTTTATAACATTATTATGCAGATTGTATTTAAACTTCAGAAATATTTAAGACAATTGTAACCCTGTAAAGCTGATGAGATATTAAAACAAGACAAAACACTTCTGACTTTTAACAGAAAACGTCTCCCTGTGGTGGTTTTACTGAGTGTCGCCCCACCCCCCCTCCTGTCGGCGTCCAGGTGGCAGAAGGCACAGGGGTCCCCTGTCAGGGTCCCTCAGGGTCGCCTGACCCCAGCTCCCAGGACACGTGCCCCCTCCATGCTGGCTTACCTTTGGTTCTCTAAGGAGACCACACCCAGCCTGCCTCTGGGCCTTTGCACAGGCTGTTCTCTGCCCAGAATGCCCATGCCCTCTCTCCCCGGGAAGCCCCCTTTCATCCTCTGGCATGCGCCTCTGCTTTTGGGCTCTAATGCCCAGGATCCCACCCACCTCCTGCCCAGCCCATTATAGGACGCTGGATCCCTTTGCACAAATCTCGTGGGGCTCCCCCACCCTGTGCTGTGACAGGAGTCCACCCCGCCCCCCTGAGCCTTCCCACGGAGGGTCAGTTCACGTTTTCACATATACATTTCTATGTTGTGTAGACCCCAAAGAAACCGGAGCAAGTGGTGAATGCAGTCCTCAGGATGCACTTTGTGAACCACCCCACACCCTGCTCGGTGCAAATGGAAGGGAAACCATGTTCTCTGCCTCCAAACCCAAACCAGGCCACCACACCCCAGGCTTTTGGCTGGAAGAGATTTCCTGGGTGTCCAACCCATCCCCCTCACCCAGGGAACACCACCGGCTCAAGGTCAGATGGCTGGACAGGGGGTCAGGCCCAGCCTCCCGCCACCTGGCTCCCCTGCCACCAGCCCTGACCAAGGCCGGCCTGGGCCGGTCCCTCCCGCCCAGGTCAGCCCCGAGGCTGCCTTAGGAGGGGAAATGAGCTCGCCCCTGCTGTTGCAGCCTGCTAGTTCCCACAGGCCTCCCCGTGGCCCATGTCATCCGCTGCGTTATCCACTCCTGCCAGAAATGAGTCAGCTACATCCTGGTCCTAGCCTGCATGGGCCTGGGGGACCAGAGAGGTCGGAGGTCAACCACCTGCTTCTCAGAGTGCCCTCTCCTAGGGGAGATAAGGAAAGAGGGACCTTTCTTTTCTAAAGGCCCTTTCCGGCAAACTGGATCGGCCAGTACAGCATCCTCATTCCTCCGCAAAGAGGCCCAGAAAGGGGGCCAGAGGCCCTGAGGTCACACAGCCTCTGGGGACGCAAGGAGGGATCTGGCCCCCCCACCTCCTCCCAGCCTGCCAGAGCCCAGTGGAGCCTCCCCACCTTCTGGGCCTGCTGCTCCTTAGGAGGCCCTGGAGGCTTCCAAGAGGTGAAACTCAAAACCTCGCCCCATGAGCAGAGCCGAGGAAGCTCCGCCAGGAGCTTGGGGCGGGGGGGGGGGGGCGCTGAAAAAGCACAGGGTTTCCACTTGAGTCATCTGCCTTCCCCGGCACCATGCATGCACATAATGGGGCTGCCCCCGGAAGGTTCCTGAGTCCCGGACGGGCTGGGCTTGACATGGGGCTGGGACGCCAGAAAGACAGGGTCTGGTTGGGTTCCCAGGCCCCAAAACAAGAGGCACCCAGTAATTATGTAGGGAATGAGGGGCAGAGGGGTCGTGTCTGTGCCTCCGTCTCCCTGACCCCGCTCCTGCAGCTGGCACACCCTCCCAGCCTTGGACGTGAAGGAACCAGGTGCCCAGCTGGCACCAAGGAGGTCTGGCGACTGGGTGGTCTGAGACACCCCCTCCACCCCAAGTGTGGCTTTTGTCCTGCTCTTCTGACATAACTGGTCTGTCCTCATTCCGGGAACAGCTGGGGGTGGGGTGACCTCTGACCTCACACAGCAGCCTGGCTGAGCTGGGTCCTTGGGGAGGAGGGGAGGGAGAGGCCTTCAAGGGGGCTGGGACTGCAATCCAGCTGTCCTGCCCTGGAGGGCACCTGGGCTTGCCCCTGCCTGACTTAACCCACCCTCCCCAGCAGCTACCTGCCCCAAGGAAACGCCGGAGCCCGTGCCTGCGGGGCCTGACTCTGTGTCCTGGAACCCAGGAAACTTCCAGCCCAGACTTCCCAGATGCCAACACAGACCCAGGGCCTGAATCCAGTTGCTGTAGGGAACCACTGCCTCCCCGCTGAACGTGTGGGGAAACTGAGGCCCAGAGCTGTGCCCTATGGTTCAGAAGCGCTGTGTTCAAACCCTGGGTTAGTGTTTAGAGGAAGGGCTGCACAATGTGGCCAACCAACCCACGGAGGATCCAGGATTCAGGATTCAAAGATTTAGTTTTGGGAAAAGAATGTTTTGAAATGTGTAAATTAGCATTTAAGTTGTTTCATTTTTCTTATTCACACTTTTAAAGCAACAGTTGAGAAACCTGGGGCATCAGTCGGTTCTGGGGTGGAAATCAGAAACAGCTGGTTCTAGTTCCCATCTGTCTTTGAACTAGGTGGCCCCTGCCTAGGTCCCCCATCAGGCAGCTGCTGGGGGTCTGCAGACACAGTTCTCCTCAACTTGCGAAAGTCCTTCAGTTCCCTCTCCCACGCCCCCAGGATAAAGTAAAACCCAGGCTCCCTGGCCCACAAGGCCCTGTATGGCCCAGCCCCCACTCCACAGTCAGCCTCAGGGCCTTTGCACTTGTCTCTGCCCACCTTTTCAAGCTGTTAGTTCTAAGCTCAGGCAACATCCACACTTTCAGACCCCCAAACCAGGCAGGGCCCCTGTGACACCCCTCGCTCCCCAAACTGATTCTTGGTGTGGCCTCTGGGCTAGGAGGGATCACACTGGGCAGAAACCCTATTCTGCCCGCCTCCCAGTCAGTGGCTCATGCATGCCACCTAGTGGCTGGGGCTGGGCTGGGGCTCCTGGCTCTGAGCTGTTCACCTCTGCCAGGACCACCCTTCCTCTCCTGCCCGGGCATCTTCTCCTGGACCGGGCAGTGGGGTTGCAGTTCACAGTTTCCATCCTATTCAGGGAGGCTCGCGGGCTCCAAGAATGCCCCCAGCAGCTAGGGGACAGGGACTCTTGACAGGACCCCCATGTCGATTGTAGGTACATTGCCCAGGACATGCAGAGAGATCTCGACTTCTAAGTGAATTCTCTCCTTTCTCAAAGGTTGGCAACTAATTTCACATTGCAAAATACTGTACAGTTTTTAGACACAGCGTGGGGCCAGCAGCTGTGACCTGAAGTTAACACTGCTCGGACAGAGCTCAGACATGTTTGACCTGCACCAAGTTCCTGAAATAAAAATGTGGATTTTGTGGCCCCCCAAAGAGGAGCCCAGGGGAAAAGCAGACGGTGAGGCCCTGAGTACGTATTTAATCACCACGTGTTGAGGGCCAGCTGGTAATTGTGTTACTGTGTCAAGCACGTAGTCTGTGTTTTATGTGCTAGGTTGCATGCAGGCCCTCGGGTCAGTCACAGGCATACTTCGTTTTATTGCATTCATTTTATTGTTTTGCAGACACCGCGTTTTTTTTTTTTNTTTTTTTTACAAATTGAAGGTTCGTGGCAATCCTGCCCTGAGCAAGTCTATTGGCGCCATTTTTCCAACAGCACTTGCTTGCTTCATGTCCCTGGCTACATTTTGGAAATTCTTACATATTTCAGTCCTTTCCATTACTATTTTACTTGTTATGGTGACCCATGATCACAACTCTGAAAGCTCAGGTGATGGTTAGCAGTTTTTAGCAATATGGTATTTTTAAATTGAAATACGTGCATGGCTTTTTTAGATACGATGCTATTGCACACTGTAGTTTACACTGTAGTGCAACGTAAAGATAATTTTTCTAAGCACTGGGACACCAAAAAAATGCATCTGACCCGCCTTACTAGTATTCGTTTTATTGCCGTGGTCTGGGACCAATACTTCATAAATTTGCATACCTAAAAAAATCCGAGATGTTGAGTGACTTGGCCAAAAGCGCCCAAGGGAAGTGGCCGGCCAGACCTCCAGGCTCTGAACCTACTAAGCTGGCCTTGGTTTCTCCATCCATTTTTGGAAGAGGTCTCGTTCCAAGGTCCCTCACTAGGGTGGAAGCCCCTTGATTCTCCTAGTGGGTAAAAATATGGCCCAGTTTCGGGCCCGTCCTCACCTCAGGCCTGTGCGCACGCGCGGCCGGCCAGCCTCCTCGGGCGGGGCCACGCGCTAGCCGCTCTGGCCCGCCAGGCGCAGTCCCCCGCGCCTGTTGGCGTGACGCACTTCCGGGGCGGAGGAGGAGGCAAGATGGCGGCGCCCATGGAAGTGGCCGTGTGTACGGACTCGGCGGCCCAGCTGTGGAGCTGCGTCGTGTGGGAGCTGCACTCAGGCGCCAACTTACTCACGTACCGCGGTGGTCAGGCCGGGCCCCGTGGCCTGGCGCTGCTCAACGGCGAGTACCTGTTGGCAGCGCAGCTGGGCAAGAACTACATCAGCGCCTGGGAGCTGCAGCGGAAGGTGCGGCGGCAAACGTCCCAGCCGGGCCCGCTGGGGGTGCGCGAGGCGCCCGACACCGGGGCCAGGGGAAGGGTCGGTGGAGGCCTGAGCCGGGCAGAGAGTCTTGGTGACGGTGCTCTGCGCATGCGCGGGTGTGGGGTCTTCTCGGAGGAGAACGCGAACGCCCTGGGGGTGGCGGGGAGAGGTTAGGGCGCCGCGCGCACGCGCGGACCTGAGGGTGGTCCGAGGTCTGGGAAAATTGGAGGGCGGGTCCCTGGGGCAGCCGGCTCTGCGCACGCGCGCTTGGAGGGCTGGAGAGGTGGGGGGAGGGTCCAGAGGGCGCGAAATTCAGTTGAAGGGAGAACCTACAGCTGGGGTTCCGTGTTTCTCGTGGCCCTGGAAGGTGAAGATCCGAGGCCCGGGACGTAATGCATTTACCCCCCTCTAAAAAAATGGCACTACTTATCGCCGTGAGCGCCCTCGTGGACCCTCTCTGCCTTGTCCACTCTAGCCTGCATCCCTTGTCCCTCTGCCCCCCCCCACCACCACCTCCACCACAGACTATAAACACCAGTCCGCCTTTACCTCGAATCCGCAGGCCTCCCCCCTCCGTCCTGCGAAGCCTGGGTTGGAGCAGATCCTTCCTTGCGGAATCGTGGACTTGCCCAGGCCATCCTGTTCTGCTGCCTTGTTATTTCCTGGGACTTCTCTCTGCTGTCCCTAGTCCCAGGTTCCGTGTGAGGCACAGGCTGCTTGTGTCCCCCTAGGACCAGCTCCAGCAGAAGATCATGTGCCCCGGGCCTGTCACCTGTCTGACCACCTCGCCCACCGGTCTGTATGTCCTGGCTGGGATTGCAGAGAGCATATACCTGTGGGAGGTAAGAGGAGAAGCATGCACCAGGGGGATGATGGGTTTTGGTCTGTGGCCCGCTAAGTTAATTAGACCCCCGACTGTGCCGTGTTGGGGGAGAGCACCTCACATCCTGCACAGCGTGAGGTTTGGGGCCCGAAGACGTAACCATAAGTGCGCCTTTCCTCACCTGTCTGCACCCGCAAAACGACCTCTCCAGTTCCCCTGGGAATCTGCAGAGAGAACGGGAGCGCTCCGAACCATCAGAGGGCCCCCGCGATGTGTGGGGGCTTTCAAACCTCCGTGCTGATTGTGAAACCAGGAAGCAGTTGCTCAGGCGCAGGGAGGGGCTCCTCTAAGGTTGCCCTCCCAGAAGTCCTCACCCTGGTTGCTGTCAGCCTGGCCCAGGGGGCGTGGGCACAAATCGTGGATGCCGTCCCTGAGCGCGGGCGTCGTAGGTGACTGCTCTTCCCTGCTTGGGGCTCCCATTCCCTGGTCCGGGCTGCTGCCCGCCCTCCCCGGAAAGTCCTGGACAGTGCGAGCTGGGACCACGAGGGGGCGCCCGCGAGGCCATCCGGAGGCAGGAGCTGGGGGCTGAGGGCTTTGAGCCCGGGGCCATCTGACTTGGGGCATCAGCTGCGACCACCTTCCGCCTGCCCCCCTGCCTGAGTGAGGAGGAGGCAGGGAGGCTGGGGTCCCTCGAGCAGGGGCTGTGGGGTTGTGAGTGCACATCTCAGTCCACGTTTTCCTCTTCCAGGGCTTTGGTGGCAACCCTGCTCCAGTGTGACCCTGTCTGGCTTAATCCCAGGCTCTGGGGGTTAGGGTGTGAACATGTTTACTTAGGGGGACAGTTCAGCCCACACAACCCCCATGACACAGCCCTTGCCAGCCCTGCTGGCAGGATCCTCTTCCTGCCCAACTGCCCAGCTCCCCGAGGGTCTCTGGCCTCCCACTCCCCCAGGCAGCACAGATGCCCCCCAGTCCCTCCCGCCAGACCTAGCGCACACATGACTGCATTTGAAGTCGTCCTGCCAGCCTGGAAGGTGGCTCCCACTGTAGTGGAATCACCTGGGTCCAGTGCGCCCTGAAGGTCCTGACTTCCTCCCCAGCCTCCTCAGCCTCTGCATCCCACCCACCAGAGAGCTTCCCTGGGTGCTTTGGGTTACTGTGCCCTTGCCCTGTGCTGGTGGGGGTTCCTTGGGGTGGCTGGCAGCCCTGGGCCCAGCGTCAGGTCGTGGATGAGAGCTTGGGGGCACAAACGACACCCGGGTCTGCACCCACTTGGACGAGGTGGGAAGGCCCCTGCAGGCAGCCGGACAGGGCACGGCCCACCGAGCCTTGGTGTGCGATCTGGTGCCACAAGCCCCATACCATAGGCACAGGGTGGGCTCCCCACAGTATTCCCGTGGCCTGGGGACCAGAAGCTGCACCCCACTTCCTGCCCTGACTCCAGGGGGGCCCTCCCACTGCCCAGGTTTCCACAGGGAACCTTCTGGTCATCCTGACCCGCCACTACCAGGACGTCTCGTGCCTGCAGTTCACAGGGGACAGCAGCTACTTCCTCTCAGGGGGCAAAGACTGCTTGGTGCTGGTGTGGAGCCTCAGCAGGTAGGGCCTGGCCCTGGGGGCTGTGCACTGGGGGGCGGGTGGACGATGGCTGCCTGGGAGGAGTGGCAGGCGCCTGCTCTGCAGGAAGGCCAGGCCAAGGCCCGAGGAAACCAGGGGGCAGTGGGGAGCCAGCCCAGAATCCAACGAGGGTGGGCCAGTCTGGCGGCCACGGTGGGCATGGGGCGTGGGCCACCCGCCCTCTGAGGAGGGCTCCTTCCCACAGTGTGCTGCAGGCGGACCCTTCCAGGACCCCAGCCCCCCGGCACGTCTGGTCTCGCCACACCCTCCCCATCACAGACCTGCACTGTGGCTTTGGGGGGCCCCTGGCCCGGGTAGCCACCGCCTCGCTGGACCAGACGGTGAAGGTGGGCGCCCCTTGCACCCCAGTGGATCTGTGAGCTGTGCCCGGGTGGCTGGTGTGTCCTTGGCCAGCGTGCGCCAGTGACTCACCTCCTCCCCCCAGGCTGGCAGCTCCAGACGGCTTTTAATCCCCCTGATGCTTCTGGCCTCAAGGTCGTCCAGAGGGTGGACAGTCCAGCTCGGAAATTCCCACTTGGCTGCCTGCTCCTGGCAGCTCTGGCCAAATCTCAGGAGATTTAAGGGCATCCTGGCCCTCAGATCTTTACCGTGGTTGGGGGAGACCCAGGGCTGACCGGCCAGGGGCCTGGGAGCCAACAGTGGCCAAAGCAGTCAGTGGCAAGGGGTCCTGGGCCAGAGCACGGAGTCCTGTGTCGGGGAAAGGCAGGTCCCTCAGCCCCTGCAGCCGCCACGGGCAGCAGCTCCTGTCCCAGGTTCAGGGGGCCCCGTTGTCCTGGGAGCACCTGCCCCATGCCCCTGCCTCGCCCGCACCCCCAGCTGTGGGAGATCTCCTCGGGCGAACTGCTGCTGTCCGTGGTCTTTGACGTGGGCATCATGGCCGTGACCATGGACCTAGCCGAGCATCACATGTTCTGTGGTGGCAGCGACGGCTCCATTTTCCAGGTTGACCTCTGCACCTGGGTGAGTGACAGTGGGCAGCCGGGGGGCGTGCCCAGGTGGAGGTTGGGCCCAGGGCCATGGGCGCCCAGGGCTTCATCCTCCTGGGTCCCGGTCCTGGTGCCCCACAAGTGGCCTTGGGCTCCCTCACAGAATGGGCTCCCCTGGGCCGCCCTCCCAGGGCCCCTTGGGCAGGGCCACCGTCTGTCCCTCTGCTCACGGGCCCTTCGGCCTCCACAGCCTGGGCAGAGAGAGAAGACTTTCCAGCCGGAGCAGGACAGTGGGAAGGTGTTCAAAGGGCACAGGTGCGGGTCAGGTCAGCCTCGGGGGGCTAGGGGCCGTTTCCTCGCCCTGGGTCAGGTCAGCCTCAGGGCTGCCCTTTCTCGGCCCCTCTTCCACCAGAAACCAGGTGACCTGTCTGTCCGTGTCCACGGATGGCAGCGTGCTGCTCTCGGGCTCACACGATGAGACGGTGCGCGTGTGGGACGTCCAGAGCAAGCAGTGCATAAGGACCCTGACCCTCAAAGGTGGGCGGGCCGCACCCTACACCCCAGCCCTTTTGGGCATGTTGAGGCATGTGGCCATGGCCGCCAGGCCTGGTTCTGGGGTGAGACCCCTTCTGGCCAGGTTTGGGGAGGAGGGCCTGGCACAGGTGGGTCCTCACGGCGCTGACCCACAGGGCCTGTGACCAACGCCTCCATTGTGCTGGCACCGGTGGGCATGCTGAGCTCCGACTTCAGGCCCAGCCTGCCCCTGCCCCGCTTCAACAAGCACCTGCTGGGCGCCGAGCACGGGGATGAGCCGCAGCACGGAGGCCTCACGCTGCGCCTGGGCCTGCACCAGCAGGTGCGCACCCCACAGCCGGGCAAGAGCCCCCCTACCCGGCCTGCCCTGCGCCTCCCGTCCCCTGGGGACTGGCTCCTTGCTCTGCCCCAGGGAGGAGGCTCCTCTAACCACAAGGCCAGCCCAGCCAGGTGACCGCCCCTGACTTCAGGAAACACTGGAACCTTCCAGAACGGAAGCAGGCCAGGCCCCGAGGTGCATTCGGGAGCAGGTCTGATAGGCCGGCGCCATTGTGTCCAGCCGCTTTGCCCGGCGTGGCAGTGGTGGCACCCGTGGGGCTGCGACAGCTTCGGCCCCCCACCCCACAGGGCCTGGTCGTGTGCACTGGGCAGCTCTGCCCACTGTTTCCACGCCGGGGGAATCACACACACCCACCCTCAGGAGGCTTGCTGGATGGATATGCCAGGCATCCATCCACCAGCTGTGGGCAGATAGTGTCCCCTCGCTGTCCCTCAAGGCCCAGCTCCAGTCCACACCTGCAGTGTGGCCAGTAGCAGCGCAGGCCCCCCACAGGAGGCTGTCCCGGAGCCGGAGCCTGCAGCCCCAAAAGAGGCCTCACCCCAGCCCAGCGGTCCTCCTCCGGACTTGTCACCCAACTGCTGGTGTCAGGAGGGCCTCTCTCTTGCAGAGTCGCTGCGAGCAGTGATGGGATAATGGCAGGGGTGGGTGGGATGCCCGGGTGAGCCCCGGGGCGCTGATGCGGCCCCCTGTTGTTGCAGGGCTCGGAGCCTAGCTACCTGGAGCGGGCGGAGCAGCTGCAGGCGGTGATGTGCAGCGCGATGGAGAAGGTGGGCCGGGGCTGGGGCCTGGGCGCGGAAGGGGCCGGGCTAGGGGCTGCCCTCTGCCAGACAAGGTGGGGTGCCCTGTGCTGTGCACCTGACCCCAGCCTCCCCCAGAACGTGCTGGGCGGCCAGGACCAGCTGCGCATCCGTGTGGCCGAGCTGGAGGACGAGGTGCGGAACCTGCGCAAGATCAACCGGGACCTGTTCGACTTTTCCACACGTGTCATCACCCGGCCGGCCAAGTGACCCTGGGCCGACTGCAGCCTGGACCACAGCCCCGTGGCGACTGACGGACAGGCCCCCCTGCCACCCGGGAGCACCTGGGTTGCTGTGGCTGGAAGCCCCCAGGCAGACCCCACATACACACACGCACACCGCTGCGCCCAGCAGGGGCTGGCCTGCCCACCGCTGTCTGTCTGGAGTCCACGCCAGTCGGGTCGTTCTGTGTGGGTTTTGATCCACTGGTGTCATTTGTGCCCCATTTGCTGTTCTGTTTTTAACAAGAGACCTGAAAGCACTTCCATGTCGGCCTCTGCGGGGTGGTCCCGGGACCCCCGCAGCAGGGGCCGTCTTGGGACTGGAGCCATCCAGAGCCCGGTCTGTAAGATCCGGTGCAGAGCCATGGTTCTGAAGATTTCCGGACACGTGGCTGCTGCCCCAGTGCCTCTGCACAACCGGCAGGGTTGGGCCATCCAGGGTGGGAGGGGGACTCTGCCAGGGGTCACCCGGGGTGGGAGTGACTCGGGAGGGCAGGGCGGCCGCAGTACCCAAGGGTCCCCCCTGCGGGGTCAGGGCAGCTGGCTTGGGTGGTGCTAATCTGGGCAGGGGCTCCCCAGAGGGACACGCATCTGGCCTCAGTCACAGTGTTACGGTCAGAGTGCAGGGTTTGAGGGAGGCCGGTCTCCCCCACTAGATTGGGGACGTGTCCAGCGCTGGTCACCATCTGGAGGCCAGCCCAGACACATAGGCCCCAAGGCCACCCAGGGAACATTCCAGAAAGCTGCCGCCGATTGCCAGCCCTGCCTAACAGTCTGGAAAATCCATGTGACTTAGTGGGTGCATGACGGCTGCAGTGGCTGCCAGCGGCCAGTGCTGAGTTCGTGCTGTCAGGCTAAGGGGTGTCTGCTCCCCTGGCACACCTACACACAGGGCAGTGCCAGCCCAGCCTCCACCCAGCCCCTTGTCTGGGGAGCAGAGATGGACTGTTACTTGGGGGGCTGCCCCATCAGTGCCAGGTGAGGTATCCTGTGGGCTGGTGTGTCAGGCACCTGGAAACCCTCTGAGGTTAGAAGGGGGACCGGTTGCAACAGGCCCTGGGGGTGCCCAATGGAGGTTGGGGGTCTGGCCTGTGGCAAACAGCTGGTGCAGGGCTGCATCCCCCTCCCCAGAGCTCGGGGGCCTCATTTCCCCACCTGTAGGCCAGGTGGTCTGTTCTCAGCCCTTAGTCTCTAGAAGTCCAGAAGGCAGCGGTGTACTTGAGGGCACGCTCAGGCCCCCCAAAGATCACCTCCCCTGCCTGGCCCTGACCCTCAGGAGGGTCCCTAGAGACCTCTGGTGCCCATGCCCTCTGTCCCCTGTCCTTGTTCTGTGACTAAGCATTGGCTTGGAAGGGGTGCCCTGGATGCCTGCTGCCATGCTGGCCCGTGTCCAAGTGAGTCCCAGACATGAGCTGGCAAGTGGCAATGAGATGGGCTCAGGATCTCTGCCTCTGCCTGGCAGCCACCTCACTGGATTTGGGTTCTGCCCCTGCCCACCTAAGGATTCCCACGACCAACAGCTCCCAAGCACCACCCTGGACCTTCAGCTGCCAACTGGGCAGGTCCTGGGGTCTCCTGGCTTGTCTGCCACACCCCACCCAGTGGCTAGGGGCTGAGGGGACTGTGGTGGCTTGTGGTCCCTGAAAGGTAGAGGTGGAGGGTGCCTGTGGGTGGGGAAGGTGGGGTCCCTACCCCCTGGAACTGTCATGATCTGAGTGCCAGCCCTGTGGCGGGGGGAGCCGCGCATGGACATGCAAACAGCCTCCATGCCCCGCTGTCACCACCCTGTCCAGTGCAGGCCTGGAAGACCATCATCATCCCTCGCAAACCGTGCTGAGAACTTGGAGGGGGTGGTGGGCCTCTGATGCAGCAGACGAAGGGGGTTAGGAATGGCGGGGCCTCTGGCCTCTTCCCCATCTGCCCCCAAATCAGCACATGGCTGCAGGTGAACTGCACCTGCTCCAGACTCGGTTTCCTTGCCCGTGAAGGGGGATGTGCCCCTGCTAGGTCTGCAGGGAGCCTGCAGGAGCTTGTGCGCACGGCGGCCTCATGGTCCTGTCTGTAAGAGCTGCCGTACACGTTCCCAAGCAGCACAGTCTGGCCGCACTGCTGGAGGCAGGAGGCCTCATGATGCCCCCGTGTGCCGGCTGAGTCGGTGTAAACCCTAGTGAGATACTACCTCACACCCGCCAGGACGGCTGTTACTTAGAAAGTAGAAAATAACTAGTGTCGGAGAGGTGGTGGAGACATGCGACTGTGAAATGGGGCAGCTGCTGTGGCAAAGAGTCTTGGGGTCCTCAAAGATTTAAACATAGGAGTCACCACGTGCTCCAGCTCCACTTCAGGTTCACACCCCAAGGAGGCAACCAGTACACGTGCCTTCACAGTAGCCAGGAGCTTTGTCCACTGACCGACGCACAGGTGCACACAACACGGTCCGTCTGCACGCTGGGATGTTACTCGGTTGTGAAGAGGAAGGACTCCTGACCCCTCTACAGCATGGATGGACCTTGAGGACACAGTGCTCAGGGACACAAGCCCGACACAAAGGGCAGATCCTGTCTGATCCCTCTCCCAGGAGGTCTCTGGAGGAGCCCCAACCACAGAGACAAAGTGGGCGGTGGGGCTGGCGGCTGGGGTCAGGTCAGGGGTTAGTGCTTCATGGGGACAGAGCTTCAGTCTGGGAGAATGGAAAGTTCTGGAGACGGAGGGTGGGGACGGCTGCAGGACATGTGAGTGTGCTTCGTGCCCCCTGCTGCACACTCAGAAATGGTTAAGATGGTGAACTTTTTATGCAAGTTTTTACCACAGAAGCGAAGGCTCGCGCACGCTTGTTCACCTGTTTGATCAGCACAGCAGCTAGGGAGTGGGAGCTCCCACTGTTGCTCGTGGAAAGATGGGGAAACTGAGGCACAGCAGTCAGGGCACCCAGATTGCACAAATGGGGAGATGGCAGTTCTGGATTTCAGTGGAATCTGGATCCCTCACTGCTGCTAAAATAATGACCCCGAGGAACCCAGGAGAAGAGGGTGGTAACAGCAAAGCCCCAGATTTGGGGGCTTCAGGGGGCACCTGTGGGAGTCCAGCGAGCCCCCTCCCACAGCCAGCACATGCAACAGTGTTTGTTGACTGGCTAACTGTGCATGTGCTGAGGGCCAGATGAGGGTGAGGAAGTGTCCCCTGCCAGGGCAGGTTCGTTTCTTGTGATGCATGCTGTCAGAGGGAGCTCACCCCAGAGTGGGATGAGTCTAGGGTGGCCCCTGGGGACACTTCTTCCAAGTGCCTCACCCAGGACTGGTGCAGGTGGTGGCTCCCCACTTGTGGGGTGGCTTCCTGGCATGACGGTGGTCTCAGGTAGGGAGTGCCCTGCAATCTGGGGACCCAACCTGTCCTGGGAGACCCAGCCAGGTGGCTGGGCGAGGTGGCCTTGTCACTTGGAAGCCAGCCACCGTGCCCTCATTCCAGTCATCTCAAAATTCGATCCATACTGCTGGCTGGCATTTGGCACTTCTATTCACCTAATGGAGTGTTTTCCTGTCCCAACACTGGCTCCAAAAGGAGATGGGCTTTTGTGTAAAAAAAATCAGCCAGATGTAGATTCATTCATTAGGGCTGGAATGTTCTCTGCGGAGCAGCTGCCCTGAGGGGGGTCTCAGGAGCCCCCTGGGTATTCTCTCCTCCCCTCCCCCCTCCCGCCTGGGGAGGATGGGATGAAAGAATCCTGTGCAGGGCACTGCCAGGCCCTGGAATGGCTAGTGTTTGTTGAGTGCCTGCTGCATACCAGTGCCCCAAGAAGAACCCTGTGTCATTTGACATGGGGAGGCACAGAGACTTCAGAAGACATGGGGACTGGAGGATGGCAGGGAGCTGTGGCAAGTTGCAGGGCACGGAGAACTATATGACCACACGGCCTTATCTGAGCAAGTTGCCTTCTGTGTGCAAGCCTGTGAGACAGAGAAATGAACGACCCAAACCCAGTCCTGCCTTCCCAGAGCTGAGCTGGGAAGAGGGCCACTGAGTAAGAAAGCGAATAAATGAGCAAAAGATGACAGCCTGTGATGGAGTTACTGTAGGCAGGGGGAACTTAAATGGGGCAGGGGGGGGTTCGCCTGTCTGGGTGACAAGAAAGGTTTTTCAGAGCAGGGGCGTCTGACAGGCTCCTGAACGACGAAGACTTCTCCGATGCACGTTGCCCGCCCACAGCTGGAGGTCAGGAGATCTCCGGGCCCCCATGGGACGTGCCCACCTCGGCTCCTCCAGGACGCACGCGTGATGTCAGAGCACACTCACACGGGTCGGTCTGGGTAGAATCTGCCTCCGACGTGGGCTGTGCGGCCATGGAAGCAGACCGACCCCGTCTGAGCCTGGCGATGTTCCCGGCTGGAGGGGGAGTGGGGACCCCAGGATGGAATAGGTGAGGGTGCATACTGATTTTCACCGAAGTCCCTCCCTGGTGCCAAGCCTCGGTTTTTTCATCTGTGGAATGGGGAAGTGACTAGCCTGGTACAGCGCGGAGAGGGTGTTCAGGGCCGTCGCCCCACCCACCCCCAAGCGTGTGGCCATCTGAGCGTCAGTTGCCCGACTTGGGTGGCGGGTGTCCCCCTAATGGGTCGCTGGCATGCAGGACCGGGAGGGGGCCGGGCCGGGCGCACGTCGGCGGAGCCTGGCCGGAAGGATGAGCCCGCCCCTCGGGGCGGGGGCGGGAGCGGCTGGGCCGGGCCGGGCTGCGACCCGCCTCCCGCGCTGTGGCACCGGCGTCTCCGCCCCGCGGCTCCCACCGGCAACTTTGCGATGGAGTTTGCTGGGGCGCTGGGGCTCGTCCTGGCGCTGGCACTGGCGCCGGAGCCCGCCGGGGGCCACCCGGAGCCCTGCGGCGTCCTGGCGCGCCTGGGCGCCCTCCTGCCCCGCGCGCCCGCCGCCCGCGCCCGCGCCCGAGCCGCGCTGGCCCGGGCCGTCCTGACGCCGCGGCTGCCGCACAACCTGAGCCTGGAGCTGGTGGCCGTGTCGCCCACCGCGCGCGACCCCGCCTCGCTGGCCCGCGGCCTGTGCCAGGCCCTGGCGGCGCCGGGCGTGGCGGCCGTGCTCGCCTTCCCGGAGGCGCGGCCCGAGCTGCTGCAGCTGCACTTCCTGGCGGCCGCCGCCGAGACCCCCGTGCTCAGCGTGCTGCGGCGGGAGGCGCGCGCGCCCCTAGGCGCCCCGGTACGCACGGAAGCCCGGGAGTCAGGACGCGCGGGGACCGCGGTCGGATGAGGGAGGACTCGGGACTCCGCTGGGGCACAATGACCGGGGGTCCGATGGCGGAGGCCCCGGGCGCTCGGGCCCCAGACTTCTGGACCCCTGACGCAGGGACCTGGCTCCCCGGACCCGGATACCCCCAGAGCGTGGAGACCCCGAACCGGAGTCAGGATCGGGGGCGCAGGGACCGGGACCACTGGGTTCCCAGGCCCCTTGGGTCGCTTCTGGATTCTGGGTGATAGAGCCCAGAGGACGCCCCCTCGGGGCGCAGAGCTCCTGTTTGGACCCTTCCCCTGGCCTTGACGGGCGGCCGCGGCGGCCCCTGCCCTTTGGGTCCAGGCTCCATCCCCGTCCTTGTTCAGGGTCCCCATCCCAGTCTGAGGGCGCCTCTGGGTTCCCAAGCACATGGCCCCCAGGGTGGGGAAGAGGGCAGCTTTGGGGTCAGGGGGCTGAGACCTTCCTCCTGGGATCCTTCAGAGGCCCTGAGGCCAGGGCCTCCCCAGCCACAGCCTCCTCCCTGCCCTCCCTGGTCCCCAGGGCCACCGAGCCACTCCAAGCCCATCCATCCCCCTCCACCCCGTCCGCGTCCTTGGAGTTTATTCTCTCCTGATTCCACACCAAGGCCTGCAGTTGGGCCCGAATAAGTGGAAAATGGGGTGAGGAGGAGAGAAGGGTGACTGGCAGGACTTTGGGGACCGTTGACCCTGCCCCACGGGAAGACCTCTTCCCAGGGCCAGCAGGGAGGGGGCTTCCCTCTCTCCAAAGCTACCTTGAGGCCCCCTCCAAACCCTCCTCATCTTCAGGGGGAGGAGATCCTCACCCTACAAGAGACTTGAGTATCCTTAGCAGGGCTGCCTTGTACCCCCTCCGTGTGGGGGAGGCAGGACCCCAATCTGGGCCTGGGGTGCCCTCTGCTGCCACCTTCCGGAACTGTGCCCCTGCAGTTGACCCGTCAGGGAGTCCTTGGCTACAGGGACTGAGCCGCACCCCCAAGGCTGTCCCCCAGCACCGGCACCCCACCTGGGCAGTACCCTGCCTAACTTAGGTGTCTGGAAAAGCTCTCTCGTCCTTCACAGGCTAAGAGCAATCCAGAACTTTCTGGGTGCCACTGGGCACAGAGGGGCACATCAGCCACTGATTTGCTTGGGAAGTCTGAACAGGAAGGGTAATGGAGTGGGGTTTTTAAGGATATGTGGGAGTTGTTTGGCATGGAGGGAGAAAGGTATTTCTGCTTCAGAATGCGAAAAGCCCCCCGAGTGGGGCACTAGCAGGGTGGACAAAGTCAAGAGAACAGGTCCCAAATGTCAGGCTCTGTTATGATGACGATAGGGAGCCACGGAAGGGTTTAGAGCAGAGGTGGGGAGAGGAGTCAGGCATGCTGTCCAGTCACTGGGTGACATCTATTGATTGATGGGGGCAGGGTGTGGTGGGTGGGCAGGCACCAGACCGACTGCGCTCTCCCTTGCCAGAACCCCTTCCACCTGCAGCTGGGCCGGGCCAGCCCTCTGGAAATGCTCTTGGACGCTCTGGTGTCTGTGCTGCAGGCACATGCCTGGGAGGAAGTCGGCCTGGTGCTCTGCCGCATGCGGGACCCTGGCAGCCTCGTGGCTGTCTGGACAAGCCGGGCTGGCAGGGCCCCAAAGCTCGTGCTGGACCTGAGCCGGCCGGACACGGGTGATGCAGGACTGCGGGCACGCCTAGCTCTCCTGGGGGCACTGCCAGAGGGTGCAGGCCCAGTTCCGGCAGCAGTACTCCTTGGCTGCGATGCAAGCCGCGCCAGGCGGGTGCTGCAGGCTGCGCCCCGTGGGCCCCGCTGGCTGCTGGGTACGCCACTGCCCGCTGAGGCACTGCCCACCGGGGGCCTGCCACCTGGGCTGCTGGCGCTGGGTGAGGTGGCCCGGCCTTCACTGGAGGCTGCCATCCACGACATGGTGGAGCTCGTGGCGCGAGCCCTGAGCAGTGCGGCCCGTGTGCACCCAGAGCGCACCCTCCTCTCCACCGCGGCCAGCTGCAACGACCGGCAACCAGCCAGACCCGAGGCCCCAGGCAGCATCCTGGCACCGTGAGTGGGCTGCTGTGGACAGGGTGTCTAGGCCCCGTGTTGGGCTGCCTCCCCCTATGGGTCACAAAAGGCAACAGTATTAGGCACTTGCTGTGTGCCAGGCACTATGTCCTCACAGGACAGGCGGCTTTCTGCCTGTCTTGGGGAAGCAGAGTCAGAGATTGGGTTGGGGTGAGGGGGCTTACTCGGGGCGCTTCGGGAGAAGTGAGAAGGAGCCGGGCAAGGCTAGAGGGAGTGAGTGTCTACCCAGTGCCTGGGAGCCCTGGAGGTGGACAGCTCCCCAGAGCCGGGCAGCCCCACCTGGGTTTTGGAACTCGGCAGCCACTCACAGTTCCAGCCAGGCACCTGGTAGCAGCCTCCAGGGCAGGACACCCGGCTGGCGAACGGATCTGGCATGGAGGACATCACAGCATCCACGCTGGTCCCCAGTCTGGGCTGAGAGGAGAGGGGAGACTCTTGTCCTGCCCCTGACATGCACCCCCACCTGCCCCCAGGTTCTTGGCCAACACATCCTTCCAGGGCCGCACAGGGCCTGTGTGGGTGACCCGCTCCTCACGGGTGCACATGGCCCACCACTTCCGGGTGTGGAGTCTGCGCCAGGACGCATTGGGCGACCCGGCCTGGGCCACGGTGGGCAGCTGGCGGGACGGACGGCTGGAACCCGAGCTGGGGGGCGCTGCCGCGCGGCTCCCAACCCCATCAGGCACCCAGGCCCGACCCAAGCTGCGCGTGGTGACGCTTGTGGAGCACCCATTCGTGTTCACCCGCGAGCCGGACGAGGATGGCCAGTGTTCCGCAGGGCAGTTGTGCCTGGCCCCCGGCACCAACGACTCGGCCACTCTGGATGCACTGTTCGCCGCACTGGCCAACGGCTCGGTGCTCCGCACCTTGCGCAAGTGCTGCTTTGGCTACTGCATCGACCTGCTGGAGCAGCTGGCAGAGGATATGCCCTTCACCTTCGAGCTGTACATCGTGGCTGATGGCAAGTACGGCGCGCTGCGGGATGGCCGCTGGACGGGCCTGGTGGGCGACCTGCTGGCCGGCAGGGCCCACATGGCAGTCACCAGCTTCAGCATCAACTCAGCCCGCTCACAGGTGATGGACTTCAGCTGCCCCTTCTTCTCCACCAGCCTGGGCATCATGGTGCGGGCACGGGACACAGCCTCGCCCATTGGCGCCTTCGCGTGGCCGCTGCACTGGTCCATGTGGTTGGGTGTCTTTGCAGCCCTGCACCTCACCGCGCTGTTCCTCACTCTGTATGAGTGGCGCAGCCCCTACGGCCTCACGCCCCACGGCCGAAACCGAGGCACCGTGTTCTCTTACTCCTCGGCCCTCACCCTCTGCTACGCCATCCTATTTGGGCGCACAGTCTGCAGCAAGACACCCAAGTGCCCCACGGGGCGCCTCCTTATGAACCTGTGGGCCATCTTCTGCCTGCTGGTGCTGTCCAGTTACACAGCCAACCTGGCTGCTGTCATGGTTGGGGACAAGGCCTTTGAGGAGCTGTCGGGGATCCACGACCCCAAGGTGGGCAGCTGCGGAGGCCTGGGGGTCGGAGCCGGGAGGTCTCTCCCTTCCCACCATCTCCTGACCCGAGGCGCAGTGCACGCAGTTGTCTTGAGTATCTCTGTCTCTGGGGGGAGATGGCAAAAATCTAGATAGATGAGGCTTGGAGGAGAGATGCCTGGGGGAACACCAGGAGAGCTGGGGGGACATTTCCCCAATCAGGCGTCAGGTGATCCTCTGGAAGAGGGTGGCATCTGAGGGGTTTTTCTGTAGATGCCAGGGAGTGTTACACAGAGAAGGCACAGCCTGTGCAAAGGTCTGGGGGCAATCACTTAGCTTGCTTCTCTACAGTCTACAAAGTGCCCTGGGTCTGAAAGGCGGGCCTCCTGGGGTTGTGGGGTGCCTGGCCATTCCATGTGTGCACACGGGCAACTAATCAGATGCCTTAGGTCTGAGAGGGAGGCAGGAGAATGGGGCACAAGTGTTCAGGGTGAGGGGTGAGGGTGAGGAGGGGACAGGGGTCTGCAAGCAGGCAAGCCTGGACCCCAGTGTACATAATTTTCTTTTTTTAATGAAAAACTTGGAATATTCCAGCGTAGGGGGGCAGTGAGCGCCATGCATGAACCCACTGCCCTGCAAAGCCCACCACCAGGGTCTGTTCGTCTTCCCACCAGCCGGGCGCCTGGACATTGGGAAGCAGACCCTAGGCCCCTTGTTTTGCCTCGGGCACCCCCGGGGCCTCAGCAACAGGCAGGGGCTCATTCTCCTGGTTGTCTTTCTCTTTTTCACTGTTTGTCTGAATGTGGATCCTAAACATGCAGCCGCCACAGGTGGTGGGAACCTCTCAGTCCAACTGCGGGTCTCGACCGTCTCTCCCCAGAGACCCGTTTGTGGGAGGAATTGTGGGTTTTTTGTCCGTACCGTCTCCCACTGCCTGGATCTGGCTGACCGCGCAGCGAGCGGGGCTTAGCCTGTTCTGCTGCCCCCGCCCCCAGCGTCCTTTGTAAAAAGTGGTAATAAAACCTCGACGCTGCGCTTTCTGACGCGCCGGCCCCACGGCCCGCGCGCTGCAGACGGTCTGCGGTGCTGCGGCGCCGCCCGTCGCTCGCTCAGGCCCAGGGAGGGGAGGGGGCGCCGCGCTGACCTGCGGCCGCCCGCAGCTGCACCAGCCGCCGCAGGGCTTCCGCGTGGGCACCGTGTGGGAGAGCAGCGCGGAGGCCTACATCAGGAAGAGCTTTCCGGGCATGTACGCGCACACGCGGCGCCACAGCGCGCCCACCACGCCCCACGGCGTCGCCATGCTCACGTGAGGCCCCGCGGGGCGGGGGCGGGGGCGGGCGGGGCGCCGGGGTGCCCTTCACTCGGCCCTCTCTGCTCCCGCAGGAGCGACCCCCCTAAGCTCAACGCCTTCATCATGGACAAGTCGCTGCTGGACTACGAGGTCTCCGTCGACACCGACTGCAAGCTGCTGACGGTGGGCAAGCCTTTCGCCATCGAGGGTGAGACCTCCAGGGCCCGTGTTTCTCGGGCAGCGGGGAGGCTGGGGGCGCACAGAGGGCAAAGCTCCCCTGGGGCTGCCCCTGGCCCCAGCCCGACCCTTGACCTCCCCCAGGCTATGGCATTGGACTCCCCCAGAACTCCCTGCTCACCTCCAACCTGTCCAAGTTCATCAGCCGCTACAAGTCCTCCGGCTTCATTGACCTGCTGCATGACAGGTGGTACAAGATGGTGCCTTGTGGGAAGCGGGTCTTCGCAGTTACCGAGGTGGGGCCGAGCCCAGGATGGGGGTAGGTGTGGGGGTTGCTGACCTGCATGGAGCCGAGGCGGCCAACTCCCCCTGCATATATTTATCTGCTTTTGTGCACTCCTACTCATCCCACAAAACCCTAGCTCATGTCCTCTCCATAAAACCCAACCCTGCATCAGAGCCACAGGCCCCTCTCTCTGCCCCAACCTCTGTCCCCACCAGGCCAGGGCTCCCAGAGGGGCCAGCCATTGACGGGGAAGGGCTTGTGCCTCTGTCCCACCCACAGACCCTCCAGGTGGGCATCTACCACTTCTCAGGACTCTTTGTTCTGTTCTGCCTGGGGCTTGGCAGCGCCCTGCTCAGCTCACTGAGTGAACATGTCTTCTACCACCTGGCATTGCCACGCATCCGAAGGGCCAAGAAGCTGCAGTACTGGCTGCACACGAGTCAGGTAAGAGACCTACCACACGGGCAGATGGACGCCGGCAGCCGCCGAGGACCTGACCCCAACACAGCCTCTGTCTGGGCTCACAGAGAATCCACCGTGCCCTCAACACTGGGCCACCGGAGGGGCAGGAGGAGGTGGAGCCGGAGCCCAGGTAAAAGCTCCGGGGATCAGCCCCCATCCCACCAGCTTCCATGCCAACGCATCACACCCCAGCCCTCCCCCGGGGGCCAGATCAGCTCGGTCCCTACCGCCCTCCGCCTCCTCAGGGACACTGACCCAGGAGGGCCCCAGGTAGGGTGCAGCTGCCCCTGCCTTGGAGGGACACTAGCCCAGCCCCACCCATGACCTGTCCCCAGGGGTCCTGAGGAGCAGCAGCAGCAGGACACGCCAGCTGCCCCCGGGAGTCCCGGGGGCTGGACACCGGTGCACGGGGCCGTGGTGAGGGCGCGCAGGGTGCACTTCCTGCTGGAACCCCCGGAGACCACCGCCACGCCTGCAGCAGACCGAGATGGGGCCGCACCACCCGAGGGCTCCCTCTGGCCCTGCTCGAAGGGCCGCCCACCCGCCTCACTGCCCACAGGTGCCCCGTGCCCTGGCGAGCTGGAGGAGCTGGAGCGGCACATAGAGGGCGTGCGGGAGCAGCTGCGCCATGCCCTGGTGCGGCGCGGCGAGCTCCTGGCCCAGCTTGGGGATGGCACCCGCGGGCCGCTTCACCTGCCCCAGGCCTGTGGGGAGGTACCCAGAGCGGCCCGCTGACCTAGGAACGACTGCCCCTCTGAAATACCCCCAACCTCCGTTCCCCGCCTGCCCCTCCGAGGTGGCCCCACCCGCACAGATACCACGGGGTTGCCATCAACAGTTTATTCTATATACAAACACCCTTTGTACACTGCAATTAAATAGGATGGAATGCGTGCCCCTCTGCATCCCTCACCAAGCGATCTGGTTTGACCGCCACCCCTCCGGCGGGTGAGGGCTGACCCCAGCCCCCTGCTGCTGCCTGCGAGGATGGAGCACACACGTCACGGCCCTGTGCCCCAGGCGGAGCCCTGCCCTCTGGGACCCCAGTCCCAGCGCACGCACAGGGGGGCAGGGGCCGTGGAAAAGGCACTGCGCAGCGTGGAGAACCAGCTGGGCAGCTGTGGGGGCCCCACCCGTGCCCACCTGGCTCAAGGACCCACCAACCCTGCTCCTGGGAGAGCTCGCTCCAGACCTTTCACCAACCCCTTTCAGAACCTTCCATGGGGCCCCCGCCCTTCTCCTGCCCTACTTTCAGGCCTGCCTCCACTGGCTGGCTGAGGGGGGCCCCCACAGGCACGTTAGGGGTTGGCTGAGGGCAGGCCCGTGCTTGGGGGAGGGGCACTGCAGGCAGACCCGGTGAGCCACCACCACCCAAGGCAGGCAGGGCGCCCCCAGAGCCACCAGGCCCAGCCCTCCTGGCCCCCAGGGGCTCCCTCCAGATCAGCCAGGGTCAGAGGCGGTCAGCTACCGGGTTCAGGAGCCGACCTCCAAGGGCGCATCTGCGCAGGCTGTGGACGCGGGGCTGGGCCTGCTCACCGTAGCGGTCGAAGGGGATGCGTCATGCACCGGGGAGTCACTCGTGGGGGTGCGGTCCTGGGGAGCCCGGGGGAGCCCCCCGCCAGGGCTCAGGGGTGTAGCCGGCCGCCGTTCTAGCAGGGAGGCACTCAGGCCAGACAGGAAAGAGGCATCGGTGATGATGGCGGCTGTCTCCGCCATCCAGCCTAGTTCACCACTGGCCGCTGCGGCCACTGAGGCCGCCGCAGCTACCAGGGAGCTGGGTGCCTCGGACACGGGCATGGGGCCCTCGCCGGCTCCTGGCAAGCTGGGACCCAGTGCGGGGGCCTGGCCCGCAGCGTCAGGGGTGGCGGCGGGGGCGCCTCCGTTGTTATTCAGGTCGTCGGGCAGCGCGGCGGGGGCGCCGGGGCCCAGGGGCGGGGTCTGAAGCAGCATCTCCTGGATGCGGATCTGCTGCAGGATGGCGGGCAGCTCGTAGTGGTGGAAGAAGTAGATCATGGAATGCTGGAGGGGGAGGGGGCGCGGGGTCAGGCCTCACGGGAGCAGCTCCCCGCGAGGTCCAGGGGGCAGGCGCCGCCCCCGCCGCCCACCTGAATGAAGAGCCAGGAGGTGACCAGGGCCAGGCTGCTGTACTGCCCGTTGAAGCGGTAGTGGTAGGCGTAGAAGGCGAAGTGGTACAAGTAGAAGAACCTGCGGGCGGCACCGTGAGCGCCGTGCGCGCGCCCGCCGCGCCCCTCCCCGGCCCGGCCCGGCCCTCACGCTCGCTCACCGCAGCCAGTGCCTCTTGCTGGTGTTGGTGTGGCAGCAGATGGCGTCATACTGGTCGGCCAGCCACACGATGAGGATGATGTAGAATGCCGTGGTGGTGTCGTTGAAGAACTCGGACATGATGGCCTCCATCCCTGGGGGAAGCCGGGCGGTTGGGGCGGGGCAGGGGGGAGGGCGGCTGGCTGGGGGGGCGGGTGGGGGCCGGGCGGGGTCCTCACCAACGAGGGCCAGGATGACGGTCAGCAGGGGTGCTGCGGGGAAGGCGATGGCCATGTTCATCTCCAGCATCTGCAGCAGGTCCACTGCGGGCAGAAAGTGGCAGCGGGCAGACCGGGTAAGGCGCCCGGCGGCAGGGTGGGGGGGGCATGGAGCCACGGAGCCTGGGGCTGAGCCCACCCCTCCCGGGGGACTCACCAATGAAGACGAAGATCTGGTGGTGGGAATAGCGGAGCAGCATGGACACGCTCAGGGTCTGCAAGCCAGGGCCGCGTGACTTCCGGGGAGGGGCGCGCCCGCCCGGCCCCGGCCACCGCCCCTCGGACCCCAGCCCCGCACTCACAAAGATGACCATGATGACGAAGGCGGCCAGGTACGAGGTGCGGGCCATCCACATGCTCACGAAGCGGTAGTGCTCCCCGGACACCACGTTCCGGAGGAAGCCTGCACAGGGAGGCAGTGAGCGCCGCCTGCCCTCCGTGTCCAGCTGCCCGCCCCCCCGGCCCCTGCGCCGTCCTGGGGCCCCGCACCCTTGTTCTCCTCGTTCTCGGCCAGGCCCTTCACACTGGACATGAGGATGTCGTCATAGCCCAGAAACTCGGCCAGCAGCAGGCGGCTGAAGCGGTCACCGAAACACTGGTCCCGCGAGGGGTCTGTAAGCAGGCGGGCGCGAGGGCCGTGTGCCAGGCCGCCCGCCAGCCCCAGGCCGGCCCCCCACCCATGCACACGGACACTAAGCCCAGAGAAGGGGTCGATGGAGGGACAGAGCCTCGGGAGGACGCCTCCCGCAGCTGCAGCCCCCTCCCCAGGTCCCAGACTCAGGTGGTCCCGAGTTACCACCGCCGAGGCCTCTCCCAGGAGACCTCCAGACTGAGGGAAAGGTCTCCCCACGGTGGGGACTCAGGGGCCTGGAGCCTTGCTCAGAGGGCCCAGACTTACCCAGGGTGACCACCATGACGGGGATGCTCAGCCGCTGCCGCGTGGCCTGGGACAGCCGCAGGAAGCCGTACTCCAGAGAGTACTCCACGATGTACTCGTCCTGGGGCCACGCTGGGGGGCGGACAGGCCTGGTCAGCCCCAGGAGGGGCTGGGGGGCTGCGGCCTGCCTGGGCGCTGCGCTTGCAGGGACTGGCCGAGCTGCGGGAGCCAGATCGCCCGCTCCCGCCCTTCAGGAGGGTCCCTGGGAGGGAAGCCAGGTACTGGGGCAGCTCCCCAAGCTCACGTGCTGCTGACGGATGGGGACCCTGAGGCACAGAGCAGCCACGCTCCCCGGCCGGCATTCATCCGGGCACTCAGACCACCAGATCCCCGGCAACTCTGGGGACCCCAGGGGCACCGCAGCAGCCCGCCCATCAGCAGGGCGGCGTGTACCTTTAGCGGGCGTCTCAGGGAAAGGGAAGTCCCGGCTGCCATTCAGGGCCTCGCCGCCGGGCGCCTTCAGCACCTTGGGCTCTATGTCCAGCTCGAACTGCGGAGTCCCGGGGGCGGGGTGTCAGCCGCGCCCCCAGGGCAGTCGGCAGAGCACCTCCCGCGCAGTCCCCAGGCTCACCCGGACGGAGCTGTTGGCAAACATCTCGAGGGTCAGCTCCTCCTCCTCCTCCTCCTCCTCCTCCAGCTCCACGCCGCCCGGCTCCGCGGCCAGGCCCGGGGGGCTGCCGCGACCCCCGCCGTCACAGAACTGCAGGAAGACGGGCGCGCGGCTCGAGTTGCGCTGCACCTCCACGCGCAGGATGCCCTCGCGCGGCCACCTGTCGCGCACGTGCTCCAGGCAGTTGATGGGCGAGCGGGAGAAGACGATGTGGATGTAGGCCAGCACGGAGAGCACGAGCAGCGCCTGCAGGGGGGCGGCGTCAGCGGCGGGGCCCCCCCGAAGGGTGGGCTCCACCTCCCCGAGGGCCGACCCAGCCGCTCCTGCCCGTGAGGCCGACCCAGCACCTCGCCAGCTAAGAACAGCCTCCCTCTCTGGCTGGGGGCCCTCTGCACCCCTCCCTGGCTGGCAGAGCAGCGTGCGTGAGCTGCCGAGGACACAGGCAGCCGGGCCAGCTCACTGGGCCACTCCGAGGCACCATTTCCCCATCTATAAAGTGGGCACAGCTGCAGTTCTCACCCAGGGTGATCCTGCCCCCAGGGGACATTGGCTGTGTCTGGGGGACACCTGTGGTCGTCATGATGGGGGTGCTCTGGGCATCAAGTAGATGGGGGCCAGACAGGCTGCTCAGTCCCCCAGTGCCCAGGACAGCCCCATGGAAAATGACCTGGCCCTGAATACCCACCATCATTAGTGGGGAGCCTGCCCTACATCACCCAGCACCTTTGGGTCAACTTGACCTGTGCCTCTTTCACCTGCAGCCAGGGGGCATGGGGTTAGGGCATCGCTAAGCCTTCAGAAGAGCTGGACGGCACAACACTGGACACACAAACAGAAACGGGAGCCAGGGGCACAGCTGGTGCCTCCGAGGGGCCCCATGTGTATGCAGGGTCTCCCACAAGTCAGCCTGCAGGGTCAGAGCCCACAGGGACCCCACCCTCTTGATCCACCCCGGCCATGCTCTCCAGGCCCAGACGTCCAGCAGGAGCTGTGCCCCAGACACCATCCACTCTGGGCCAAAAGGAGAGCAACTTGTGAGGTGCTAAGAAGTCACCTAGAGTGTTGTTGCAGGGTGGCCAGGTGCTGGAGGGCCAGCACTTCCCCAGGATGCATGCGCCACCTGCACTCAGTGTGCAGGTAACCAAACCAAGGTGCAGAAGCTACCCAACCAAGGAGGGGTGGGGCTGGGAGTTCCACCCGGAGAATGCACAGGGCATGGCCTTCCTGGAGGAAAGGCACAGGCCCAGGGGGCTGGTGGCATGATGCACGCACCTTCACTGAGTACCCCTCAAGTCTCCAATGTCACTCTGGGGCCCTGCCCAGCACCCCTCACAGGGTTTGGCCCCACCAGCGTCCTTCTGTCTGAGGCCCTAGGTGAGGTCTATTACCCTTGCCAGAGAGGGCGGGTCCCTGGAGGCAGGACCAGGAGTCACCCAACAAACTGCCCTAGGACCTGGGCCTCAATTTCCTCGCTATGGGACAAGCAAGCAGACTCATTTCAGTCCCCCAAAAGCCTATCATCAATCACATGGGGCAGGGGCAGCCCCACCCATCCCCGCCCACCCAGGCCCTGGCATCTGGTCATGCTCAGCCACTCAGTGGCCCTCCACGCCTCCCCTTCCAGGGATTCAGGAGTCTTGCCAGGACATGGCCTGGCCTGGCCCCCGCAGGCCCTGGGTGACT